TCGTTGAATACCGTAAGAGAAATTATAAAATTAAGAAACCGAGAAAATTTCCCAAATCGAACACCGCCGGTTCCCAATACCACACAGTCGGTCCGTTAAAGTTTAAACCCTAAAAACCTTCGAATCCATCTCTCAGCTTCACTGACACGACGCATTTCCCTCCTAATTCTCCCTCACTGCTTTCTCCATTGAAGTCTCCCGACCCTTGAGGGCAAGCTTACCGCTGTTCCAGCTATGTACCTCTACAGCCTCACTCTTCAGCGAGCCACCGGCGTGGTGGCCGCCATTAACGGCAGCTTCTCCGGCGGCAAGTCCCAGGAGATCGTCGTTGCGCGGGGCAAGCTTCTCGACCTCCTCCGCCCCGACGACACCGGTAAGCTCCAGACCATTCTCTCCGTCGAAATATTCGGTGCTATTCGCTCCTTAGCTCAGTTCAGGCTTACTGGATCTCAGAAGGATTACATCGTCGTGGGTTCCGATTCCGGGAGGATTGTGATTCTGGAGTACAACAAGGAGAAGAATGTGTTCGATAAAGTTCACCAGGAGACGTTTGGGAAGTCCGGGTGCAGGAGGATAGTTCCTGGTCAGTACTTGGCGGTTGACCCCAAGGGGAGGGCGGTGATGATCGGAGCTTGCGAGAAGCAGAAGTTGGTCTATGTGTTGAATAGGGATACAGCAGCTAGGTTAACGATATCCTCGCCTTTGGAAGCACATAAGTCGCACACCATCGTGTATCACATTTGTGGGGTTGATTGTGGGTTTGATAATCCAATCTTTGCTGCTATTGAGCTGGATTATTCGGAGGCTGACCAGGATGCAACAGGGCAGGCTGCAAATGAGGCACAGAAGAATTTGACTTTTTATGAACTGGATTTGGGGCTTAATCATGTTTCTCGGAAGTGGTCCGAGCCGGTCGATAACGGTGCTAACATGCTTGTTACGGTTCCTGGGGGTGGAGATGGACCAAGTGGAGTGTTGATTTGTGCCGAAAATTTTGTTATCTACAAGAATCAAGGACATCCCGATGTAAGGGCAGTGATTCCTAGGCGTGCTGATTTGCCTGCTGAGCGTGGTGTGTTGATAGTCTCTGCAGCAACGCATAAACAGAAGTCCATGTTCTTTTTCTTGTTGCAGACTGAATATGGGGACATTTTTAAAGTCACCCTGGAGCATGAGAATGACAAGGTTTCAGAGATCAAGATAAAGTATTTTGATACGATTCCAGTGACAGCTTCAATGTGTGTGTTGAAATCAGGCTTTCTATTTGCTGCATCGGAGTTTGGAAATCATGCTTTGTATCAATTTCAGGCTATTGGTGAGGACCCAGATGTGGAGGCCTCTTCAGCTACTTTGATGGAAACCGAGGAGGGCTTCCAGCCTGTGTTTTTTCAGCCAAGGGGGTTAAAGAATCTTGTTAGAATTGACCAGGTTGAGAGTTTGATGCCTATTATGGACATGAAAATTTTTAATCTTTTTGATGAAGAAACACCTCAGATATTTACCCTTTGTGGCCGAGGGCCTCGATCATCCTTGAGAATTTTGAGGCCTGGCTTGGCTGTAAGTGAGATGGCTGTGTCTCAGCTTCCTGGTGTGCCAAGCGCAGTTTGGACTGTGAAAAAGAATGCCAGCGATGAATTTGATGCATACATTGTTGTGTCTTTTACTAATGCAACTCTGGTTCTCTCTATCGGAGAGACAGTTGAGGAAGTTAGTGATAGTGGGTTTCTTGATACTACTCCTTCTCTTGCTGTTTCTCTGATCGGCGACGATTCATTAATGCAAGTTCACCCAAATGGTATTAGGCATATAAGGGAAGACGGTCGTATTAACGAGTGGAGAACTCCTGGAAAAAGGACAATTGTGAAAGTTGGCTCCAACAGACTACAAGTGGTTATTGCTTTAAGTGGAGGGGAACTTATATATTTTGAGGTGGACATGACTGGTCAACTAATGGAGGTGGAAAAGCATGAGATGTCTGGAGATGTGGCTTGTTTGGACATTGCCCCAGTTCCTGAAGGAAGGCAGAGGTCAAGGTTCCTTGCAGTTGGTACATATGACAACATTATCCGTATCTTGTCTTTGGATCCCGATGACTGCATGCAGATTCTGAGTGTGCAAAGTGTTTCATCAATTCCAGAATCTCTTCTATTCCTTGAGGTGCAGGCCTCAATGGGTGGTGAAGATGGAGCTGATCATCCAGCTAGTCTCTTCCTCAATGCTGGGTTGCAGTCTGGGGTTCTGTTTAGGACAGTGGTGGATATGGTGACCGGCCAGCTTTCTGATTCTCGTTCCCGATTCTTAGGATTGAGGGCTCCAAAGCTCTTTTCAATAGCTGTGAGAGGTCGCCGTGCAATGCTATGCTTATCAAGCCGACCCTGGCTTGGTTATATTCACCAAGGGCATTTCCTGTTAACCCCACTTTCATACGAGACTCTTGAATATGCCGCTTCATTCTCTTCCGATCAATGTGCAGAAGGTGTTGTTGCTGTTGCTGGTGATGCACTCCGGATTTTCACTATCGAGAGGTTGGGTGAAACGTTTAATGAAACTGCAATTCCTCTCAGGTACACTCCGAGGAAGTTTGTAATTCAACCCAAGCGAAAACTTCTGGTTATTGTTGAGAGTGATCAGGGAGCATATACAGCAGAGGAACGCGAAGCTGCTAAAAAAGAGTGTTTTGAGGCTGCTGGTATGGGCGAAAATGGAACAGCCAATGAGCAGATGGAGAATGGTGATGATGAAGACAAAGAGGATCCCCTCTCAGATGAGCAATATGGTTACCCCAAGGCAGAGTCTGACAAGTGGGTATCTTGCATCAGAGTTCTGGACCCTAGGTCAGCAACCACGACCTGTCTGCTTGAACTTCAGGACAGTGAAGCTGCATTCAGTGTATGCACGGTTAATTTCCATGATAAGGAACACGGTGCTCTTTTGGCTGTTGGTACAGCTAAGGGGTTGCAGTTCTGGCCAAAGAAAACATTGGCTGCTGGATTCATTCACATTTATAAATTTGTGGATGAAGGGAGAAGCCTAGAGCTTTTGCACAAGACACAAGTGGAAGGTGTCCCAGTGGCTTTGTGCCAGTTCCAAGGTAGATTACTGGCTGGAATAGGCTCTACACTCAGACTATATGACTTGGGGAAGAAGAGGTTGCTCAAGAAATGTGAGAACAAGCTTTTCCCGAACACGATTACTTCTATTCAGGCCTACCGTGATCGTATTTACGTGGGCGACATCCAGGAGGTATGGTATTGGTGACATTGAGCTAGTTGCAAGTGTTTATATTCTCTGTTTTTCCCCACATCTCATAGCTTGACTTGGATAATAGTCACTGATTTTTTCTTTTCTCTTCTGCTGTGGTAGTCTTTCCACTTCTGCAAGTATAGGCGGGATGAGAATCAGCTCTACATATTTGCTGATGATAGCGTTCCAAGGTGGCTTACAGCATCACAGCATGTAGATTTTGATACCATGGCAGGTGCAGACAAGTTTGGGAACATCTATTTCGCAAGATTGCCACAGGATGTGTCTGATGAGATAGAGGAAGATCCAACTGGCGGGAAGATAAAATGGGAGCAAGGAAAGCTTAATGGAGCTCCTAACAAGGTTGAAGAAATAGTACAGTTTCATGTCGGTGACGTGGTTAGTAGTGTCCAGAAGGCATCTTTGATTCCTGGTGGTGGAGAGTGCATCATATATGGCACAATGATGGGTAGCTTGGGGGCATTGCTGCCGTTCAATTCTAGGGATGATGTCGACTTCTTCTCACACCTGGAAATGCACTTGAGACAGGACCACCCACCATTGTGTGGAAGGGACCATATGGCATACAGATCTTCCTATTTCCCTGTTAAGGTAAAAACCGAGTCGTATGTTCTCATTTGCTTTTACATTGCTGATTCATACGCAAAAGAAGAGAGGTAAAGCGTTTCTCGGATATATTTTTCGCAGGATGTGATCGATGGAGATCTGTGTGAACAGTTCCCCACCTTGCCTATTGATGTACAGAAGAAAATTGCTGATGAGTTGGACAGAACTCCAGGGGAGATACTGAAGAAGCTTGAGGAAGTCCGAAATAAGATCGTTTGAGGCATGTTTGTGTTTTTGTACGAATATGTATGAGTTAGTTATCATGGACATGGAGTTGCTGCACCACAATCGTAGTGCTTCGGAATTACTTCTCAGAATCGCTCGAGGGTCACGTAGTTGAGCTAATGAGAACCCTAGTCTAGTACAAATTTGTAACTCAGGAATTGGGCCGATGCAGAAAGAAAGGATCGGTATCAATGTCGCCCCGCCTCGGTTTAGATGCCATTACTAGTGATGTTGGAATTGTCCAAATTTTGCTTTTCATATCCTTGTAATCACAAAATATCAGGATTTGTTGCTGAATAGTTCCTTAGATGATGATTCTGTCGTGATTGCAGTATGTAAAGTGCTTCTTCAGGAAACAAAACTCTGCCTGGTGGTCTAACTTCCTGCTCTTCTTTGGCTTTCATTATTTTCCCCATAGATTTCTCCATGGATAATCTCTCCCCAGCTGATGAAGTATACTTTTCCTTATTCATCACGGCCTCTTTAATTTTGTTTTCTTTGCAACCAGCAACATCTTCTGTTCAAGTAGGTTACCTGCAGCCTTGGTACCAAATTCCAATGACCACTATCACAGACCCAGAAAAACTCATCGTATCAACAGATAGGGCCAAGCCCAATTTACGAAGGCTTGCCCAGAACAAAATATTTTAACCAAGAATTGGGTAGGGGCCGCGCGAACGCAGGCCCCCGCTGCCACAAATTATGACGTAGGCTCTCCCGCTATGGGAAGACCTTAGCCCAGCACCCCTCCAGAAGTGCAATGGAGGTCACTGGCCTAGACCACAGGCCTTATTGATCGCCCGTTGATCCCGTCCAGGTAAGTATGTTGTGTGGTTGCACCCAGCTCGTGTTTTATACTCCCTTTCTCCTTCTCAACTTCTTATGCTAACCATTGTGGTATTTGCTCACGCCACTTCCAAACCATCTTCTATGTTATCTACACTTCTCTCCCGCTGCCTCCTGATCTTTCCATCCTCCCCATCTCTCTGTACCTCTCTGCAGTCAGTCCTCACATCACCATTGACACCATTTGATGAAGAGTTTGGTTGCATGTTCTTAAGGTTTTTACAAGGACCGGTATGAGCAGTGATGATTAGGGTAATGGCGATTAGAATGCTAATAACCTGAAGAGGAGTTGGCCTGCTTTTAGAAAAATCACAAAGTGCATATTTTTCGATAGTCCATCATCCATGGTGAGGGATGATCATCAAGTTGCCAATGGCTTCCCAGCAAGAAATGCAGCAAATAAAGTGAGTGATCTACTGGGGGAGGAGAAATTAACACAAGCCGTGTGGGAAGCTGCTCTAACGGTTGCATATGCAGGTTTGTTATTCTTTCCATAGTCTGTCTTGTGTCCATCCTTCGATTTGTAAGGGTATAGAAGAGGGTGATTTCATGAACATGTGCTTGATCTAGAGAAGAAGAAGAAAATTAAATCAGTCTCTTGCTTAGTTGGATGCACCAAGAGTTATATAACCTGCTTGTCATCATCAAACCAGGGCTTGTAAGGCACACTAGTGTTCAAACCAAACTGTTCAGAGAGATGATTCACCATGTTGCTCTCGTCGTACTCTTTATACCGCTGCAGTATCACAAATTGATCATTAGAGAGCAAGCTGAGAGCAACAATTGCTATGGCACTCCACTTGATCATGTAGCAATCTTGTTCTTGCTGGGTACAAGCACTCCACATACTGGTATAGCCTACAAATTGGGCATGAATAGCTTGTTGGACACCTTTCTTGTTCAAGTACTGCTTTATCCCATGTTGTATTCAAAGGTCTATTGGCTCTTAACCTCTCTGCATTACATAACCAGTCGACCATATCAACCATGCAGAGTACTTGCTTGCAGGTTGTTAGGAACATTTGCAGCTCTCAAAACTCAAAAGTTCATTTAAGAACGAGGGGCCTAGAAGTGGGGTTTGCCTTAGCTTCAACAGTGTAGCAGAAGAGTTTCCTTTGTTGGGTTTCATCAACAGTAACATAACCTGAATACTGCTGGGAACAAGATGGAACTATTTACTTAAATCCACAAAATCCAACCAAGTGACTGTTCCTTGTTTACAATGTGAGGAACATGATTTTAGTTGTCATTGACTTATGATGTCTGCTTAAGTTAAAAGAGAATCATTGAAATAATTACAGCTTGGAGAATTCCCACTTCGCAACGGATTGTGAAAGGCACTACAATGTTCGAAGGTGTCCGGTTGAGAGATCTCAAGTTGCCAAAGTTTTGCTAGCTACAAAAGTAGCAAACAATGAGAGGGATCTCTTTGGTGATGAGAATGGGGCAATGTGAGAAACTCCTCTTATAGTTGCAAATGCAAGCTTATTCCCAGGTGCAGCTTCAATCTATTCTATTTGGCTTACAAGCTGCAGCTTCTCCAGGTGGAGATGCCTACAAGCTTAGCTGGGCATGCATAGCATGCTTAACATCCTTCCTGTTCAAGTACTTGTCCGTTTCGCCTTGTGGACAAAGGTCTGTGGCCGAATCTCCAACCTTCTGCATTGACTAGACAAATCGAAAACCCGCCAATGATGAGTATTGTTGCATGTATCGTTGATTCGGGTACATTCGTGTTGATCATAGTCAAGGGGAACTAATACCGGATTTTTGCTGGTTCTTTGGCTGGACTTGAGGGATGCAAATGGACGGAAATTTGCTTCCAGAGACTGTTTGAATGATGATGACCCATCATCGTTTGCTAAACATAAATCTGAAGTGATGTCATATATGTCGAAGTTTCGACTAGGCATTTCTGTACCAAGTTGGGCTGCAACAATTTTACAAGGCTCATAAAAGGAGTTTGAAGCAGCCTGTCTCCTGAGTTGGGAGGTGTTGCACATTTTGTTGACAAGGTGATAGGTGTGGTCCGATATCAAGCCGTGAGACCAGTAGAACTTTCCTTCTCCGTTGAAATCTGTGTTGAACTCCAGGAATGGATCCCCTATCTGAAAATTACTACAATACAACGCAACACGAGAAGATAATCATTGACACGTCTTTCAAACATCAGGATTTGTTGATATGTCAAAGTATATTTTGGCAGGTATACTTACTGATATTTTAAGCTGAGATTTGATATTGACTCGACAATTAGTTGGGCTAGTTGTGGGACATAGTGTCCTGTTGGGGAAAGAAGAAATCAGAATCAGAATTCTAAAAGTTCTGAATAAGATGCTCTATTAACAACGGAGTCTAGATATAACATACCAGCATAGCTTTCTCCGGCAAGATAAAGATCTATGTTCTTATATTCGGGAAACTTGATTAGCTATTGTTGTAGGAATGCCAAATTATCCTTTGCTGATAATAAGAAGTGCACAGACAACTAATTTGGATTCTGTACTTAATCTGACAAGTTATTTCAGTTTGAGAATATGAAGATTGATCTACAATTCAGAACGAACCTGTTAGGGTAACATTTACTAATTCATAGAACGACGTATTGGCAGAATAAGAGAATCCAACTCATGTTGGCGATTCCAAGTACAGCATGTTTGCTCCTGAACCAATTGTCTTGTAAGGGCCATGCTCAGTGAAAGCTCTAGTTCCAATAGAGGAACACCCTGGCCCTATTAGCAGCACACACCAACCTCAAGTCATACTTAAAGCGGAAGAAGTTAAAAAAAGAAAGTATTTACTCTAAACTTCAACTTATAGCCGAAAGAGAAGGATCAAAGATGAGAAACGGGTTGCATCAAAACGTAGATAATCAACCAGCGCGCCGCCATTTAGCCACAGAATAAGATGCTTGGAAGTAGAGTTTGTCTCGGCTTCAACAAAGTAGTAGACGAGCTTCCTCTGCAGTCTGTAGGGTTTCATCAACAACATAACCTGAATACTGCTGGAAGATAACTTCTGGCTGCCCTGGCAACTTTACAGTCTTATCAGCCTCGTATGAAGCCTCAGCCGTTCTGCAAATCGCGGTGCAAGTTGGAGGAATCATTAACATTACAATCCATAAACGAGTGCCCATTTTGGGGTGAAAAAGTTAGGGTTGGTCATATAAGTGATGAAAAAGGAATTTGCAGCTGATAAGACGGACAAACTGCTGCATCACTACACTTTTCATTCCAAAGAGAGAATCGTGATTATGAATTATGATTGGTATTAACAGTGACTGAACTCTAGAACTTTTCATTCCAAAGAGAGAATCGTGATTATGAATTATGATTGGTATTAACAGTGACTGAACTCTAGAACGGACGTTATATAAACTCTGAACATTAACCAACCGAATGAGCTTAGGGCGAGATTGGTTGTGCCCATATAAAACTCAACTTACCGCGCTGAAGAATTAAGTTGAGCAAGCATAAATTAAAGAAAGCCCAGTAAAGAGAAGAAATGCTAAACTGGAATTGGTGGGGTGCGCCAGGCCCATGCAATAGTGCAACAGAATTAAGTTGAACAAGCATAAATTAAAGAAAGCCCAGTAAAGAATTAAGTTGAGCAAGCATAAATTAAAGAAAGCCCAGTAAAGAGAAGAAATGCTAAACTGGAATTGGTGGGGTGCGCCAGGCCCATGCAATAGTGCAACAGAATTAAGTTGAACAAGCATAAATTCAAGAAAGCCCATTAAAGAGAAGAATTGCTAAACTGGAATTGGTGGGGTGCGCCAGGCCCATGCAATAGTGCAACGCAAGGGCGACACGCGAGAAGGCCCCTGAAGCAAGCTCCAGTAGTGGGCCTCTCCCCCTATAAAAATTAATTTAATATCGTGTGGGCCATTGGCCCACGTATCAGATATTAAACTGATAAGAACAGATACTACACTTGATCTTAGCCAAAAGGCCGAGAAAGGTGTGAATTGGACTATGAACAGAGCTTCCTTCTTATTCCAAGCCTGCTGCTGCTTTCATTTTGCTTTAAACGATGTGGTAGAGAACTGTAATGGACCATCTCAGAAAAGCTCAAACACGGACTTCTGCTAGTCTTTCCATGTGAAGGCCTCTTTAATTTTATCTTGGTTTAGCTCATAACATATTCAAAACTTTTCAGTATTGATGACAGGAAAAATTTGCAGTCACTTTTCAAAGCAGAAGGTAACTAAACTGGAGAAGAAGTATAAGGAGCCATAATTTAAAATGAGAAGAGCATAATTTTCACCATGGAATTGGAGACCATGTATATATATTATGAATTTTGAGTATCAAAATTTGTCCTTGCAGCTGACTCATGTACAAGTGTGGTTTGCATGATATAACTACAGGTTTGTGGATGTTGAGAACTAAAGTGGCACTCGACACCTTCCTCAATATCTTGAATGCATGGCGCTCCGAGTTCTTGTGATGAAGTTGGATGTCCTCATTGGATTTGTTCATCTTCAGATATGCATCCACCTCTGCAAACTCTTTCACGCTTGCTGAAGAAACCTGTTTCACCTTGGAGACAATGACCAGCTTCTAGGGTAGGAGATTTATTGAGAAATGAACGGAAACGAGCACTCCAGAGCCTCAACAACAGTTTCAGCTTGGAGACAATGACCACCAGAGCCTCGACAAACAGCAGATTCAGCTTCCAGTCAACATGGTGATCGTCTCAACGTTGTCTTTGATGAAGTGGGTTTCTTGCTGTTCATACACTTCAAGACCCTCATGAATTGCTTTCATCAGAGTCTTCCTCGGTTCCGAATACCTTCTGGTTTCATAGCAAGCTCAAGATGTCAAACAAGAAACCGAGCATCAGATTACGTTAGGAAGATTGGTTAAACATAGCTGTATCCATTATTATCAGTTCATGAACTGACGAGGATGACCATATATGAACTCCCTTTTGTACAGGTTTGGACGGCAATGAAACAGTAGTCTTCCATTCCACTCCACTGTGTCGTTAGACTCTGGATCAACCATCTCCAACTCAAGATTATGCCAAAGGTAATCGATTTCTTGATTCTGATATGACATTAGATCATTGATAATACAAAGATGTGCATAATGGTTGCCTCAAGAATATTGAGCCAATGGTTTCCCAGCAACAAATTAATGCTGCAAATACTGCGAGTGATCTCTTGAGAGGCTCCTCTAATGGTGGCAAATGACAACTGATTGTTCTCCCCATAGACTTGTGTCCATCCACGCACCTGTTTGTCAAAATCAAACCATGCCTTGTAGGGCACGCTAGTGTTCAACCCCATCCCTGTTGCCAAACGATTCGCCATTTTCCTTGTCCCTGAAGAATGGAATAACTGAATCTTGATCCCCGCTGTACACTAGTACTCGAATCTCCGATCCCACCAACAAGCCTAAGCCTAGAGCTTTTGCACAAGACACAAGTGGAAGGTGTCCCAGTGGCTTTGTGCCAGTTCCAAGCTTTTCCCGAACACGATTATTTCTATTCAGGCCTTACCGCGATCGCATTTACGTGGGCGACATCCAGGAGGTATGGTATTGGTGACATTGAGCTAGTTGCAAATAAGATCGTTTGAGGCATGTTGGTGTTTTTGTACGAATATGTACGAGTTAGTTATCGTGGACATGGATGTGCTATTCGATGCATTCTCATTTCATACGGAGTTGCTGCACCACAATCGCAGTGCTTCGGAATCACTTCCCAGAATCGCTCGAGGGTCACGTAGTTGAGCTAATGAGAACCCTAGTCTAGTACAAACTTGTAACTCAGGAATTGAAAGAAAGGATTGGGATCAATGTTGCTCCGACTCGGTTCGGATGCCATTACTAGTGATGTTGGAATTGTCCAAATTTTGCTTTTCATATCCTTGTAATCACAAAATATCAGGATTTGTTGCTGAATAGTCCCTTAGATGATGATTCTGTCGTGATTGCAGCAGTATGTAAAGTGCTTTTCCAGGAAACAAACTCTGCCTAGTGGTCCAACTTCCTGCCTGTTGTTTGGCTTTCATTCTTTTTCCCATGGATTTTAACACGGGATATTCCTCTCCAGCTGATGAAGTGTTCCTCTCCAGCTGATGAAGTGTTCTTTATTCATCACGCCCTCTTTACATACTGGTCAGAATTTCCCATGCAACAAAAATAGTTAATTTTTTCCTTGCCGAGGTATGTCATGATTGCCGATCTCAAAGTAACACCGAAAAACAAACATCGCATTAAAAAAGATAGGGCTAAGTCCAATTTAAGCAAAGACTGGACCGAACAAAAAACATTTAACTTAGAATTGGGTAGGGGCCGCGCGAACGCAGGCCCCCGCTGCCACAAATTATGACGTAGGCTCTCCCACTATGGGGAGACCTTAGCCCAGCACCCCTCCAAAAGTGCAATGGAGGTCACTGGCCTAGACCACAGGCCTTATTGATCGCCCGTAGATCCCGTCCAGGTAAGTATGTTGTGAAGTTGCACCCAGCTCGTTTTTTATACTCCTTTCCCCCTTCTAAACTTCTTATGTTAACCGATGTGGTATTTTCTCTCGCAACTTCCAAACCATCTTCTATCTTATCTACACTTCCCTCCCGCTGCCACCTGTTCTCCCCTCTTCCCCATCTCTTTGTACCTCTCTGCAGTCTCAGTCCTCACGTCACCATTGATACCATGTGATGAAGAGCTTGGCTGCATGTTCTTAAGGTTTTTACAAGGACCGGTATGAGTTGTGATGATTAGGGTAATCTACGATTAGAATGCTATGAACGTGATGAGGTGTTGGTATGCTTGTAGAAAAATCACAGAGTGCATATTTTTCGATGGTCCTTGATCCTTGGTGAATCATCTAGTGTTCAAACCAAACTGTTCAGAGAGACGATTCACCAGGTTGCTCTCATCGTACTTTATACCGTTGCAGTAACACAAATTGAACATTAGAGAGAGCAAGCTGAGTGCAACAATTGCTATAGCACTCCCACTTGATGAGGTAGCAATCTTGTTCTTGCTGGGTACAAGCACTTTAGCTACAAGTTGGGCATGCATAGCTTGTTGGACACCTTTCTTGTTCAAGTACTTGTTCATTTCATTTTGTATTCTAAGGTCTATTGACTCTTAAGCTCTTTGCATTACATCGCCATTTGACCATATGTCCATATCAACCATGGAGAGTACTTCCAGTTTGTTAGGAACATTTGCAGCTCTCAAAACTCAAAAGTTCATTTAAGGACGACGGGCCTGGAAGCGGGGTTTGTCTTAGCTTCAACAGAGTAGCAGAAGAGTTTCCTCTGCTACTTGTGTTGTGTGTGAATAAAAATATCATACTTGTGTGTGTGATGGGTACCGAGACAAAATTTTGGTCAAGGTTGTGTGTAAAACATGATGCTTGTAATATATATCTCTCTCAAACTGTTGCGTGAAATCATGTTGGTTTAGCTCTTCGAGTAACAAATGAAAGTAGTTGACTTTGGTGAATCACGTTAGTTTAGCTCGCTGAGTAACAAATGAAAGTAGTCGAGGTAAATAGGAAGTGCTATTTGGATAGTTTTGGTGACGAAACAAGGCTATAAACTGAGCACCACCACATTGTAACTAGCTTTCATTTAACCATACTCCATATTAGAAGAGTCATAAAAATATTAGGGTAATGACTATTTATTACCCAAACCTTTTTCGGATTCTTTTTTATTAGTCAACCTATCGAAATACTAAGAATTAGCCAAATGTTAGCTTCCAATTAACAATTTTGTTAATAATATTGACTTGGCAACGTGATACTTATTTGGAAGATACACATAAAGGTCAGCATTCCAAAATTTTAGTATTTTGACTAAAAAATAGTTACAAAATTATTAACGATAACGTAAAAATGGCTAATCTTTTGATGCATTACCTCAACAACAGTTTCAGCTTGGAGTCAGACAATGACCACCAAAGCCTCAACAAACAGCAGATTCAGCTTCCAGTCAACATGGTGATCGTCTCAACGTTGTCTTTGATGAAGTGGTTTTCTTGCTGTTCATACACTTCAAGACCCTCATGAATTGCTTTCATCAGAGTCTTCCTTGGTTCCGAATACCTTCTGGTTTCATAGCAAGCTCAAGATGTCAAACAAGAAACCGAGCATCAGATTGCGTTAGGAAGATTGGTTAAATATAGTTGTATCCATTATTATCAGTTCATGAACTGACGAGGATGACCATATATGCACTCCCTTTTGTACAGGTTTGGACCTCAATGAAACAGTATTCTTCCATTCCACTCCACTGTGTCGTTAGACTCTGGATCAGCCATCTCCAACTCAAGATTATGCCAAAGGTAATCGATTTCTTGATTCTGATATGACATTAGATCATTGATAATACAAAGATGTGCATAATGGTTGCCTCAAGAATATTGAGCCAATGGTTTCCCAGCAACAAATTAATGCTGCAAATACTGCGAGTGATCTCTTGAGAGGCTCCTCTAATGGTGGCAAATGACAACTGATTGTTCTCCCCATAGACTTGTGTCCATCCACGCACCTGTTTGTCAAAATCAAACCATGCCTTGTAGGGCACGCTAGTGTTCAACCCCATCCCTGTTGCCAAACGATTCGCCATTTTCCTTGTCCCTGAAGAATGGAATAACTGAATCTTGATCCCCGCTGTACACTAGTACTCGAATCTCCGATCCCACCAACAAGCCTAAGCCTAGAGCTTTTGCACAAGACACAAGTGGAAGGTGTCCCAGTGGCTTTGTGCCAGTTCCAAGGTAGATTACTGGCTGGAATAGGCTCTACACTCAGAATATATGACTTGGGGAAGAAGAGGTTGCTCAAGAAATGTGAGAACAAGCTTTTCCCGAACACGATTATTTCTATTCAGGCCTACCGTGATTGCATTTACGTGGGCGACATCCAGGAGGTATGGTATTGGTGACATTGAGCTAGTTGCAAATGTTTATATTCTCTGTTTTCCCCCACATCTCATAGCTTGGCTTGGATAACATAATAGTCACTGATTTTTTATTTTCTCTTCTGCTGTGGTAGTCTTTCCACTTCTGCAAGTATAGGCGGGATGAGAATCAGCTCTACTGAAGAAACTTGTGGAAGTCCGAAATAA